GGTTCCCTCTGGCTATTGGAGGGTCCCAGCTGGGCCGTACGACGGTGCTGAGGTGAAGCGGGTCGTGGCTTATTGCCACTGATATAGCAGTCGGCCGCTATATGACCGACATGACTGCAAGCGGAACAGAAAGCGGGGATCTTCTCGTAGATCACCCGCTGAGCAAATGTCTCCGAACCCTGCTCAATCTCAATCTCGTGGATAGGCTCCACTCTAAGATCAATCTCGACACAGAACCGCGCCATATTAGCCCTGGACTGGAGAGCAGTCGGGGCATCAATGCGGACCGGTTTTCCGACACACTTAGCAAGTGTGGTGATGGAATCCTGGTCATACAGATGTGGTGGAAGGCCAGGGAGGCGGCACCACACGGGGACGACCGGCGTCTCCGTCTTCGGGATGAACCCGGAAGTGTACTTGAATACCCTAGCTGGGCATCCACATATAGAAATAGAAGTCCTAAGCCATGCCTCATTATAATCTTCGGAGAGATTAAAAGTGACTAGAAGATGATTGAAGTTATACCACTTAAATGAGAACCTACCCTTAAATCTCAATTTTCCTAATCCAGCAGCTAGGTCTCGGGGAGGAGGGATAGCATAGGTGAACTTAAAGACCATTGTGTTCGCTAACTTACCTGCGAGGGTGTCAGCTTCGGCCTGTGAGAATCGGACCTTCACTCTGTTCCCCTCCGAGCGGATGATGGTCCCGCAAGCATGGTCACAGTCCCCGTCAAAGATAAACTCCTTGGGTATCGGCCGCGGGTTAATCTTTCCGCCCGAAACGTCATCTCTCTTCCCCGTAATAGCTTCTCGGAAAGAGAGCGGGCCAGTGGAAGTGTCTGGCAGAGATCCGGGTGCAGCGGGGTTTTTCGTTGGGGGGCCCGTCGGCGGTGTCCCGTTCGTGGGAGGTCCAGAAAGATGAGCCGCCAACGCCGTGATTGGCCCCGCAACCACAACATCGTCTTCTTGCATATACATGACATCCGGATTAGAATTTTCGGCCGCAAGAGTGGCAGCTCCGGCAAGTTGGTTGGTCGGAGGAGGTGTGTTTGGTCGGGGACCGAGAATTTTGGCCGAGGAAGTTGACTCACGGATATTCCCGGTAGGATTTCTGACGGATTTTGATTTTCCGGTAGCGTCTCCGGCGCCGGCGCCGGTGGAAGACATCACGGCTACTGTCGGCTGGATGGTTGTGGAGGGGGATGTCGAAGGCGGGTGGCGAGCTGTGTGCAGAAGACGGCTTCGGTCTGCGATTTTATGGAGGTAGGCGGGTTTTTGTGAATAGTGGGTTGGGGGGTTGGATTTAAAATGGAGATGGGCTGTGAGTTGTTAGTTGAGTGGGTAATGGTGTTGGACTAAATTTGAAGGAGGGTGTTGTTGGGCTGCCGTTTGGATTTGTTTGTGGTGGGAGCAGGTCCATAAAGAGGAAAGCTCAATGAAGGGCTTAATTGGAGTATGGGTTGGGAATTGGGTTCAGAAGTGTTTAATGAAGTGTTGGTTTGGGCCTGAATATTGGTGAGTTGGCCCAATGTGATGTCTCTTAGCTCAGGATTGGAGCCAAACCCTACCATTTGGCATGGGTGTAACTGGTGGGAGGGGGAGGTAGATTCTTTACAATTCAACAGAGGAGGAGCGGCGGCGGCACTCATCTTCTCCAGTGAGCCATTTTTCGGCAGTGGACCGCATGACCCGAAGACAAGCGGTCTGTTTTCTGTACTCGGCTCCAAGGACGCCGTCGACCTTTCTGTGCAGATTTCGATGATTGAAGTTGAGAGCCCCTCTGAATTGATATTCCCACAAAGATGCTCGACAGCTTCTGCAATTTCTCCTTCCTCTAAGATTTAGATTTTGTTTTATTCTTTTCCTATCTTATTGAACTCGTTTTTTTCGAGAAAGGCTGATAAAGCCTCTCAAAATTCCAGCCTAGACATGAAGGTCTCCAAATCCGAAGCTATGATGGCGGGTGAGTGTTGTCTGTTTGTCGGAGAATTGACCGGAGGAACCATGATTGGACCAAGCTGAGGATGAAATTAAAGGACTAAAAGGTTAAAGCACGGGTGAAAAGAGGGTATAAGTGACAAAGATTTTCTGTAATGTGTGTTTTTTGATTTTCTGGTTTGCGATGAAATTAAAGGACTAAAAGGCTTGCCGGAGATCTGAGAAACTAGACTAAAAAAGGTTTAATTTGGGAAGAAAATTGAATTTGGTTGAAAAGAATTTTTTGTAGAGAGAGAAAGTTAGAGAGAAGGGAGAGCATTCGTCTACCTTTTTTTGTATCTTGTCTTTTATTGCTAGGTTAGTTCTTTCTTGCTGGTAGGTGTTGTAGTATTTTTTACCGGAGTTAAATCAAAGATTCGACACCGGGTCGTGTCTCTTGAGGAAGGTCAGCCGGATTATTTTGTACGATTATTCAAGCATAAAAATGGAAAATAAAAGAAGTGAAAATCCTAAACATTCTAAATCAAGTTNCGAACCACAGTCTACAGCAGCCTCTTTGTAGTTGCTAAGTTAGTTCTTTGTAGTTGCTAGGTTAGTTCTCTGTAGTTGGTAGGTTACTAGTTGCTGGGTTAGTTCTCTGTAGTCGCTAGGTTAGTTCTCTGTAGTTGCTAAGTTAGTAGTTGCTAGGTTAGTAGTAGCTAGGTTAGTTCTCTGTAGTTGCTAGGTTAGTTGTCTGTAATTGATAAGAGCTGGTCCCATTTTAAGAGTTGGGCGCATTTTAAGAGCTGGTCCCATTTGATCCGCCCTATATATATATATATATATATAGGGTCTTGCTCCGGTGAGAATGGTTCTCAATGAAAGAAATAACAATAAATTTTAGCCATTAGATCTGATCATCCAACGGTAAAAAAACAAGCAGCATTTATACATTATTAAGGGTATCATAGACATTTACTCACACACCAACCATCCAACACATAAGTGGGCCCCACCCCTAAGTAACTCGTTCAAACCCCCAGGCCCAGCTGTCACTGTTCTCTCCTCTCTCTCCTCTCTCTCTCTCACGCCGGCACACACAGACCCAACACATACACACACACGAAATCGATCACTGTCAGCCACCGGCCACCCCACAAAGCGTCGGCGCAGCCATGGCGCCGTTCGCCTCTTGCCGCCGTTCGATGCCTGAGGACTCAAGTGCCCGTCGCCGCCTTTTATTTTCATCCACCGACCCCGACTCTGAAATCCGACGACGAGAAGGTCGTCTCATCCGGCGACGCTAACCGAAAAAATTTCCAGACACATGCCTTCTCGCCGCCATCTTCGCCGTCCCCTTCCCGACATGGCTACCAACATTGTACACGACCGCCTCTGCCATTGTTGGACGATCCAATCCCTCCGGCACATCTCAACGATTGCCAAGATTGTGGTTTCGATCGGCGTACCTCGCCGCCCCAATCGATAGCAGAACACCAGATTCATTGGAGGAGATGTGTAAAAGATGAACTAAATTTTTTGAGCTGGGGCTTTAGTGTCAAAATTAGATACATTACAGGGGTCTATTTGCAAAATTAAGATGTTTGGTTAATTACAATTTAGGTTATGTGACTAATATGTAATTTATAAAAATATTAATAAATATACATTATTACTAAACAAAATGTACATTAAAGAGTTATTGTGTTGAGAAATACACAATAATATTTTCAACCAACAAAACTAAAAAATATCACTCCATGAAACATCATAATTCCCCATATTTATCTATTTTTTATTGTTAATTTTTGGTTCGATTTCAGCTATAACTTTTAAAATAACCAAAATATCAGAACCAGCTGCATTATATACGTTTGATTTGGACTATAATTTTTAAAATAAACAAAATATCCAAACTAACCGCATTATATAGAAAATAATTTTTTTATATCATATAATGTGTATTTTTAGCCAAAAATAGTATAAAAATTAAAATAAAATATCAAATTACTCAATATATTTTTATAATACAAATAATAATGATTTTTTTATTATTTGGCTAACTCGGTCAACCGTCCAAATGAATCGATTATTTGGATTCAATTTTAGTTTGAATTTGCACATAAAAAAAAAAAAAAACATACATTGCATAATGCACAATAATATTAAACAAGTCGCACATTAATAACCGTTAGAATGCACAATACTGTTAGAACAAGTGCACATTAATGTGTTCGAGAGTGCACATTAATGTGTTTGATAGTGCACGTTAATATAACAGTGTGAGTTTTAAAGATATTAAAAGTTTGGTTATTTCTGTCCGGTCTCAACTTTATTTAAAAAAAAAGGCGAAATAACAGAACCGCCCGAATGACATAAAAATATTATTTTATATTTTCATCTATGTATATATTATTTATTTTCAACAAGCAATAATATAAAACATTAAATAAAATTATATATAATTAATAATTATATAAATAATTTGATAAATGAACAGTAATGTTAATTAAATTACACATTAGTAACGTTTTCTAAAATTGAAATGCACATAAAAAATAAAAAATAACCGATCGATGGACTGCACAATAATGTATGCCAAATGCACATTAGTATCCGTGTGAATGCACGTTATTGTCCGGGATAACTGAAAATTTAAATGTAGAAACAAATAATAAACCGGCATATAAGAAATTCGAACAAAAAATTTTAGTTCGGCTGGTTTCAATCACTATTGTGCATATTGACATTCATTATTGTGCATCTCATCGAACACTATTGTGCATTCTGTAACTAATGAGAGTATTATTTGTGCAATTTTAAAACGTGGTATTGTGCATTATGATGAGAATTAGTGTGCAACTAATGACTTTTATTAATTTATATATTTATTCCATGAATTTGAATGTAATATTGTTGAAATTTTTTTATTTTGCAACTAAGTCCTTTTGATTTGTCTAATTCACTTAAAATAGCCCCAATCCCAATTCTCAATTAGATCTGCTATTCCAGTTAAATCGATCAGCACAAATTCACACTCTGCCACTTCCAAATTTCATACAGTCCCGGCAGTTCTCTACGATGGCTTCAACGATCCACAAGCACCGTTCAGGATGTACTCGTCGACAGTGTCAAGGTCGGTTGGGATAATCGGGAAACTCAAACGAAAACAATAGAATTGCCGCAGTTCAGGGACATCGGTCTCAAGGACCGCTCGCTGCCGCTGGATTTTGTCATGGAGGAGTTTCTACGAGCTTCATCCACGTCGGATCAGCCGGCGAGGAGAAGCTGAGGGCCTCGGCGGATGGTTGTTGATGAGGCATCTTGCCGGTATCTCAGTGGCGGACGGCGGTGCTGTAATGGAAGGGAGGTACTGGTGACGGTGTTCGTATCAGTACGAGATCAGAGATGACGCGACAGCCTTTGGTGGCGGTGGACGGCGGTGCTTGGTGTAGTCTACATGTATACGAACTGTGTGTATGTATGTGTTTTTGGGGTAGAGTGTGAGAGAGAGTGTGGTTAGTGGGGTTGTTGGTTGGGCCCAATGATAAATGTGTATTGTCTTCTCTACCCCATTAAGTGGTCAAATGCATATATTTGACCACGAAATAAACACTTATTTATGCAATTGCCATTACAGACTTCACTGACTTTGACTTGATCATTACCATTGATATGTCGTATCCAATGGTACAGATTTATTCTTATTTCTTTCACTGTCTACCATTCTTATTTGAGCGCACTTCTACATATATATATATAGATGAGATCACATGAGAATGGTAGATAGTGAAGGAAATACAATTCTCTCTCTAGGGGAGCACCTTCTCTCGTCGGAGAGCAACTTCTTTCATCGGAAAGCCCTTTTCTCTCGCCGGAGAGGCCTTCTAATCTTCTCCGACGTTCTACACCTCGCCACTTTTTCATACTGCGGTCATGGATGGGCAGAGTTCAAAATCGTTCACAGATGAAGTGGAGCAGCGGCTTAGGGTTTTTTCGCTCTCGCAAAAAGAAAACAAAATCATTGAGGTAGATGATGTTAAAACTGGTGTAGAGGAATGCCACCATAGCCTATCCGGCCGTATAGTCGGAGATAGAAGAGCGAGTCTGGCCGGAATCAAGAAGGCGATGGGCCAAATCTGGCGTCTGAAAAATTCACTCGAGTTTAGAGAGCTCGGTCCCAATTTCTTTCAATTCATCTTCTCAAACCTAGAGGATCTTAAAAAGGTGGAGAGAGGAACCAACTGGATTTTCGAAAACCAATTCCTCATCTTGCGCCGATGGGAATCTGGAATGAACAGAGATGCCAAATGCTTTTCCGAACTCAAACTATGGGTTCACGTCCACAACGTTCCTCTTAACTGGCTTACCGCAGAAGTAGGGCTCAGAATTGGGGAAGTTTTCAATGAGGTTTTCCAATGTGGTTGTGAGTAACTTACCGTTTTAAGGGGGGCGCCTAATTAAACTATTGGTCACAGTTGATATCAATGAACCACTACCCAGATGCACTTCGATTAGGTTTGGCTCAGAAGTGGTTACTGTGTCATTTAAGTATGAGCGTTTAGTTAATCTGTGTTTCTACTGTGGGATGATTGGCCACATTGAGAAAGCTTGCACTCACAGAATGGAGGCTATAAAAAATAACGCTCAAAGAGGGTCAATTTGGAGATTGGATGAGAGCTACTGATGGGCTGCAGAGTCAAAACTGGAACCATACTACCTCTTCAGGTCAATCTCAGGATCCTGCACCCTCATCTAGTAACACCAATGCCAATATCCACTCAACAGGGGATGAAGTGCCTATCACCAAACATGACGCAACAAAAATTTCTTCTTATAGCCAGATTGGGCAACATGGGCATAAGGGAACTGATACAGAACACAATGGGGCATCCAATGCGGCACCTCAGTCCTCTGAAAAGAAGTTGATTATCTATAGTCCCACCTCAACCCAAGCAGATATGATCACAGCTAATATTAAACCGATCCAATTGGAGCTCAAGCCCATTGGTGAAGATGATCAACCTGGCAATCAGCTAACAGAAATAAAAGGGAAAAGCCGAAAGGGAGTTAGCAAGGGTAAAGCAACTTGGAGAAGAACACCACAAAGGGAGGGCAGGCTTCTTAGAAATTCCAAAGACAACTCCATGGATCTCTCAATGACTGTGGCCAAAAGAACCAGAGAGCTGGCTATACTCAGAGGGGAGACATCTCACAATGACAACTTGGTGGAACAGCAGGATAAGAAAGTGAAGCTGACTTTATCAAAGGTGGAGAGGGCTTGCCTTAAGAAGCCCTCAGAGTCCTCATGAATGCTCTGGTGTGGAACTGTAGAGGTCTGGGTGGGCCCTCTACAGTTCCCCAGATTAAGGAATCCTTAAGGATCCACCACCCCTCCTTCTTTTTTCTTTCTGAAACAAAAAAGAATAAAACATTTTCATCTTCTGTTTGTTCTAAATTGGGTTTTGCAGATAGGCACTATATAGTGGAGCCTAGAGACACAGAAGGAGGACTTATTTTGATTTGGGATGCAGAAGTGGAGGTTATTCAGATTTACAGCCAAAGCTTCTTCATTGCTGTGCACTTTAAGGAGAAATTAGGAGGTTCTCCTTGCTGGACCATTTTTGTGTACATAAGCCCATCTAAGTCTGAAAGATTTCTTCAATGGGAGCAACTTTTACATGAAAAGAACACATGGGGACCTGTGTGGTGCATAGCAGGGGACTGGAACTCTTTGTGCAGACCAGAGGACAAGAAAGGGGGTCAACCCATCTCTGATAGAAGCTGCTGGGAATTTAATCATTTCCTAGCCCAAATGGGTGCTCAGGAGATCCCCTTACAGGGACTGACCTATACTTGGGCTAACAACAGATCAGGCCAAAGGTATGTGGAAGAAACATTTGACATATTATTTGTCTCTTTGGATTGGATAGCCAAATTCCCAGATACCAAGGTCATTAGCTGGCATAGAAGTTCATCTGATCATACCATGCTAGTAATCTCTACTTCAGCAGCAGCCAGAAAGTACAAAAAGCGATTTCAGTTCGATAAAAGATGGGCCCACACAGAAGGAGTTGACATTGTGGTTAAAGAAGCTTGGAATGCACCTACTCTTGGCACACCTATGAACATTCCTAAAAAATAAACAGACTCACCTTGCAATTGGAAGATCTGAGAAAAGAGGGAGGAGATAGAAATTGGGAAACATGGGATAGACTGCAGAGAGAGTTGGATGCAACTAATGTATCAGAGGAAATCTACTAGCAGCAAAAAGCTACGGCTCTGTGGTTTAAGGAAGTAGACCAAAACTCCAAATTTTTTCATGCATGTCTCCCAGAGGAGGAAAATGAACTCTATTGTAAGGTTGGTAACTGAGGGACAATCAATTTGTGATAACCCTGAGGAAATTAAAAGGCACATCTCATATTTCTATACCAGGCTGTATACTTCAAATGGTTCTTGAGGTGGCCATGAATTTCTGCCCTTGATCCAAAAAACAGTCACTGATGATATGAATGCAATCTTGACAGCCCCTGTTGAAGAGGATATATGACATTAAAAGAGCTGTTTTCAGTATCCACCCTGATAAGGCACTAGGTGAAGATGGCATGACAGGCCTTTTCTATCAACATTTCTGGCCAATTATTGGTAAGGACATTATTTTTGTTGTTCAAAGCTTCTTTGAATCCTGCCAACTTTTAAAATACTGGAAGCACACCTTTATAACATTCATTCCCAAATGCTTCAACCCAGCTTCTATCACCAAGTTCCGACCTATAAGCCTGTGTGCTGTTTTTTATAAAATTATTTCTAAAATTTTGTCTCTGAGGCTGAGAATCTGTCTCAATGAATGCATGTCAGAAAACCAAGCAGCCTTCCTCCCAGGGAGGCAGTTGCTTGACAATGTTGTTATTGGGCATGAAGTTTTTCACTTTTTAAACAGGCACAGGTCAGGTAAAAATTTCTTTATGGCTTTTAAATTGGACATGATGAAAGCATTTGACAGCCTGGAGTGGAAATCAGTTCAATTAACAATGTTGAGAATGGGTTTCAGTAATGTATTTGTTAAACGGATTATGGCCTGTATACAATTCCCTACATTTTCCTTTAACCTGAATGGCACTCCATGTGGATTTGTTACAGCTTCTAGAGGCTTAAGGCAGGGGGATCCCTTATCCCCCTACCTTTTTATCATTATTTCAGAGCTGCTGTCTGCTAAGATCATGGATGCTTCTGAGAAAGGTTGTTATGAAGGGATCAGACTTTCAAGAGATGGTCCCACACTAACTCATCTACTGTTTGCAGATGATACTCTACTTTTTTGTAGAGCAGACACTCAACAAGCCACAAAAATTCTTCAAATTCTTCATGCCTACCACAACTTCACAGGCCAGCAGGTGAATATGGCCAAATCAACTGTCTTCTTTAGTAAAAATACACCACCTGACATTCAGCATACTGCTCTATCCTCTCTGGAATTCAAATCTATTCATACACAAGATATCTGGGTTTACCAATGGTCATTGGAAGGTCCAAAAGAGAGGCTCTTGATTATATCCTCACAGTAGTAAAAAACAGAATCAACAGCTGGAAAAACAAATGGCTCTCTATTGCAGGTAAGGAGATTCTTATTAAGGCTGTCCTCAATGCCCTATGTCTTGTTTTGTCTTGCCTGTCTCTCTGTGCAAGGAAATATCTAGTATCTGTGGGAACTTTGGTGGAGCAAAGGCAATGACTTACACAAAGGACTCCACTGGCTGGCCTGGAACAAACTGACTTTGGCCAAAAAGCATGGAGGCCTTGGCTTCCAGGACATACAACTTTTCAACATAGCCCTTATTGCCAAACAGATTTAGAGGCTGGTTTCAGAGCCTGACACATTGGTGAGCAGGGTACTTAAATCTAAATATTATCCCACTTCCTCCATTTTTGAAGCTCACATTACACACAACTCATCCTGGCTTTGGAGAAGTTGGCACTCGATTTTGTAGATTTGTGCCAAGTGGATGCAAGTACAGACACTAGCATCAAAATTTGGGATCAGCAAATGATCAGAAGTGGCACTAGCATCAAAATTTGGGATCAGCATTGGCTACCTTCACTCACAGACCAACAAGTTGAACTGTTGCAGGGCATTGACAGGAATTATGTTTGGGTCAAAGATCTAATGACAGCAGATGGGTGGAATTGGGATGTCAGAAAATTAAGGAGCACATTTCCTCCTCATATTTGTGATCTGATCCAGACTATCAAGACTCTCAATCCCAACCAACCTGATAGATGGACATGGAAGCTTCACAGTAAAGGGCTATTCTCAGTGAAATCCACATATGCTCATCTTATCACTGAAAAGTTCCTCAAGACAGAACCAGCACAAGGGAGTAGAGTCTTGGCCAGGGACATTCAAGTTAGGAATAGAACCTGGAAAATGCAGTTAATGGGAAAACTAAAACACTTTATCTGGAAATGCTGTAATGGCACATTACCTGTTAATAAGAACTTGCTGGCTAGAGGTGTTGCAGTGGACAGTATCTGTAATGTGTGTGGTGATGAAGTAGAATCTATAGAACACTTATTCTTCAATTGTTCACTGGTTAAGCTGGTATGGAAGCACTCACCTGTACAGTGGGAAGAGCCCCAAGGACATGCAAGCTTCCATGATTGGTGGTGGTCCATTTGCCAGTTGGACGAGTCAGAGACATCAGAGGCAAGGATTCAGTTATCTACCTACATACTCTGGTGGCTCTGGAAGACTCGCAATTTGGATGTTTGAAAAGGTTAGAAGGCCTGCTCATCTCATTGTTCGAGCAGCATCGAAGGATTGGCATAATTTCAGGACCAGCAGATTATCCAGGACTTGAGATGCTAGATACATTTTCTGTGTTATGATTCAGTTTTTTCTCTTCGGTTTTTCTGTTTCTTAGTTTTTTACTTTTTCTGGATTTGGTGTTAAGGTTCCAGAAGTGCATCTGCCTTAGCCCATGTTGATGTTTAGTTGGGTTCTAGACCACCAGTTTTGTGTGGTTCTCTCATTTCCCGGCTTGGTTTTGGTTGTGTTCATGTAGTGCTTTGTGTTTTACGTAGCTATTTGAGTTGTCTGTATCATTTGTAACTTCAAAACATTGTACCTCTTTATTGATTTGTATGAGATCTTCTAT